ATAAATATAAGATACCTTTGTCTATTTAATAGAGTATATTTATTCAGTGAAATTATTGTTCGTCCTTAAATATTTTTTTCAAATTATGTAAAAAAACTAATCGCTTAATCCCCACTATTGGCATTTCCAAGTATTCACATGCGCAATAAAATATTCTTAAGAATGAAAACTTAATAATTGAAGTATGGAAATCGAATTGATTTACAGCTGCCATTTTCCTTAAACTGGGATTAATATTCGTAAAAGAAATTGATTTAAAAAAATATAATTACGTTAAGAGAGCGTAAGAATAAGTAAGCAGCCGATATAAGAAATAAAAAAAAAGTACTGAAAAATCTCGGTACAGTAAATAATACTTATGAACCATTCGCGCATTATTGTTTCCATCACCCACGCATTCGAGCTCAGCACAATATTACTCAGTCGCGAATTCATCATATGCCTTTTTCCAATTACACCTCCTCAGCATTGTTTCTCAAGCACATCCTCCTCATCCTCCAATCATCCTTTCCATCGCTCCTTCCCCAATTACTCTCCTTTTCCTTCCATCCTCGGCGACCTCGTTGCTTCTCTCCCTCCTCCCTTCTACACTCACTCACTCACTCACTCACTCACTCACTCTCTCTCTCTCTCTCTCTCTCTCTCTCTCTCACTCACTCTCCTCCTCCTCTCTGTCTCTGTGTCTACCCAACTCTTTGCCGTCGCGTCTTTCTCGTCCCTTATTTCTGTCTCCGCTTACATTTTCTCCTCTCGCATTTCTCTCGCTTCTCGCCGGCGTCGCGAAAGCTCGGGCTCGGGCGCTTGGAAGCTCTCGCGCGGCAACGGCTCCAGCTATTGATCGGAGGCCAAGCGGGGTCAGAGTGGCAGTGGACGTGCATCGGTGGAGGTGCGCCTCCTCACCCTCGCCCTTGCGCTCGCGTGTGGGTGAACGCTGCAAGGCCTCGGTGCACTATTTCATGCTTGTGTACGAGGAGATGCAACCTGCACATGCTGGCGCGTGCTCGCATAAAGCTGCATGCCGCCTCTCGTACTCTTCTATTGCCTTCTTTTCCCTCACTCTCGCGCTATCGCTATCGCTCTCTCTCTCTCTCTCTCTCTCTCTCTCTCTCTCTCTCTCTCTCTCTTACACTGTCTCTGTCTCGCTCACGGGGCCCCTCTAGTCATCCACTCACCACCTCTCTTCCTCGTGTCTATATGGGCTCACATGGGCAAGATGCGAGATGAGAATAGGATAGATGTTTAATAAATACTATGGAATTCCAATGAATGGAATTTTCGCGACGATGTGGAGTAATTTTTGACGAAAATTCAAATTAAATCCACAACGCGATCGATGCTGTAAATTAGTACTAGTTTAATTCGAAATGTCAGGAATGAAGGAATCGGCAGGTGAGGAAAACATTGAAATTGAAGCAATCAAAAACTTTTGGGAATTTCTCTTGGTATTGGGTACTTGATTTTGCTGCATTTATAAGAACTTCCCTAGTATGGTAAAAATAATGGTAAACATATATAGAGGGAAACATATATAAAGGTTCGATCGAGTAAACATTCCAATGTACATTTGGTATTAGCATTAGAAATGTTTTTCGAAATGGCAATAAATTGTGCTTTGTATTAAGTACAAGAAGATAATGCTACAAAATATAAATCTATTGCATAAAGTTTTTCGGACTAAGTAAAATAAAATGAATGGCTAGGGCTATTTAAACTAAATTTCTTTTATTCTCTTATTTTAATAATTCAAATGTAATAGCAGTAAATTTGTAAACTTTTAAATTTTAAACTGTTAAATTTGATTTTTGGCTCTAAAACAAAAATAATTCCATTTAAAAAGTAATTTAAATGGGAATATTTATAAATCTACATACGTTTATTATAATTATTTTCATTATAATATAAATAAAGACTTAGGGAAGCAAAAAAAAAAATTCTTAAAAAAATCGTCTAGTGTATAATATTATTTTTCTTTTACATCGATAAAGCGATATTAAATAAATATATTATATGATTAAAAAATATTATATTATTAATAAAACACATAAGACGAGTGATTTGACAGTATAAAATGATTTTAAAACATATTTAACGATATAAAGATTTTCGAAAAATACATATCAATATTTCTTTTGAACAATATAGCTTAAATTAAGGGATTGAATATTAAAATGAAGGGGAAAACATGGAAGAAACATAAAGGACAGCAGCCCAAATTCATAAAATCTATTTACGTATGTTATAACGTTCGTGTACAATTTATCAAAATTATCATCTACGGAAGAATTTAATTTTTGTTTTCAAATTGACAGAATGCGTATAAACTATGTATTTTCATCGCGTGCGAATTCCATAAAATTATTTATATGGAGCATAGCTTGACGTTTCAGGCTCGTACCACAAATTTTTTACTTATAATTCAGCGGGCGCGCGCACACTTACGCACTCACGCGCTCATACACACGCCCACACATCTGTTTCGGCAATTAATTATATAAACCTTATACGTAATGGCCGCTAGTCGCGCGAGCCAATTAAAAAACTCGCCACCAAAGACGCATATAAAGAATGAAGCCACATTTCGTGAAAGTACATTATAGTTTAACCAGCCCCGTACAACCCCATATCATTTCTTCCTCTGCGCCAATTTCTTACTCTAGCAACGGCGCACGTGTAACGAATGCACATTTGCCATCCACACACCACCACCACCCCCCCCCCCCCCTCGCGCGTACACCCATCACGCACAAACGCCCGCACACACTGACACCGGAACTACCAGCGTTCGCCACGAAGCTCCAAAACCACCCCACCCGTGTACCGTTGATTATTATACGAGAAAACGCGAGAGAGAGATAGATAGATAGAGAGAGAGAGAGAGAGAGAGAGAGAGAGAGAGAGATAGAGAGAGAGAGAAGGTGAAATTAAGTGAGGGGGATAGGGTACAGTTTTGAGACCGCGAACGGTACTCCCACGATATCATCTGCCTGCTGTGCAGGCACCATTAACCAGCTAAAACACTCGGTAAATATATTCATGCCGTATCGCGCCATAAAAAGCCGCTTAAAGGACTGTTCTGCATATGTTTACAGATTAAAAAAGCCCGGGAAGCCCCTCTCGCGTCATTTATAGCCTCGGACAATGTAGACTAGCATCGGACTGCCCAAATTACCTTTTATTACGCTCTCCTATCGTCTACATCGGCTGTATTATGAAAATCGCGAGGTTTCAACTGTTCAGCTCGCACTTTTTACCCTATTCCATCTTTATTGCGTGTTTTAATTATGAGGAAACGACATTGTTTTTGAATTTTTTTTTCCTTTCTTTTGTTTTTTTTTTTGTTTGTTTTTTTTTTTACGGTAAAATCGTATTTCAAATTGAACGTGAAAAGTAAGCTATATTGGCTGGTGAAATTCTTTAATATAATTCAGTGCTTGTGTACTTGCAGTAATGGGACAGGGCGTAATTTGCCAATTTTCAAAGATAACGTAATCGATTTAAGAAATTTTGAATACGCTATAACATCGGCAAGCACCGTAAAGAACATTATTTTACGTCTACGAATAAATATAATAAATATAAGCAATTAATATTAATCGAAAGGCAAAATACATTTGTAAAAAAAGAAAGCGAGGCTTTATGTTAAATTTTGAAGTCTAATTATAATAATTCGATTTTGTTGCGTTACCTTAACCACATAACAACAAAATATATTGAAAGAATTCCAAAATATTTCACAGTAACCAAGATACCTAACAGTTTCGAGTTGTTAAATTAACGTTAAGGATTCAAGAAAATTTAATAAAATACATTCCAATTGCCAGATTTACACAAAATTAATGCAGTAACTTAATTCATCGAGAAACTGAAAAATAATTTGATATTAATAAAGGAGATAGTTATAAATAATTATGATATTTAGAAGAAATTTTTTCACTTATGCAATGTCTAATCGAATAACCAAATTTATAGAAATAATTCAACAAAATTTTATTACACATATGCTACGCTCTGTTTCAATGTAAATAAATTTTAGAATTTGCCTCTCGATAATTGAACATAAATTTTGTTTTCAATTTTAACGCTTCGATTCTCATTATTAGGTGAAAATTTAAATCTAATACTACTAGAGCTCAATACTATTTTTATGATATATATATATATATATATATATATTAAAAACATCTTATATTTCGTTCGAATGTGTGAATAAGGTAAAGTAAATTTATGCTGTTTTGTGGTTACATTTTTTTTTGCTTTTCTTCAATAACACCAATAATAAACAAAGTATATTAACCGATATAATGAAAGGAAATTATGATCGATTCAATCTAAAGAAATAAAGAAAGTAGCATTAATTCCGTTATTACTATGAAAATTATACGAATTCGCTATATTATTGTAAGTATAATATTGAGTCGATTAAATAATCTTTATTTGAATAAGAAATTATTTTCATCTACATGATCACGTATAATTAACCGATAATGTATCTAACATGTGTTAACAAATCAGTTTAATATAAGAATAAGCTATGAAAGCATATTATATCGACAAAATTAATTCAAATGTCAAAAGAATAATGCCAGTTGTATGGTTTAAAAATTAAATCATTATATAATACTCAAACAAAAGTATATTTCTTTTTTAAGCCTTGACTTAGCATGCGCACAATATTATCCAGAAATTAAAATACTCACACTATAAATAAAAATAACAAAAAAAAATGCAATATCAATATATCAAATACCTGGATTTAAGGAGGTAACGCTAGAATTTGTACGGATTTCTGTTAAGCGCAGTACTTTACTTCAACCGAGTTTATTAGTAATAAGAAAGCTATATTGTTATTAGCAGCAATTTCTAATAATTTGCGGAGAATCAGTAATCATGGACTTGCCCGATGTTCCATTAGCATTTGGAATCTCTGAATTATTGCGTCTGACTGGACGAATACATTGGTCACTTACCTCGTTAGTATTCCATCGATGCCTTTGCGTAGGAAAATGCTCCGCACGGGGTAAAGTCTCCAAATTTTCCGGCAACTTGATCGGATCTCCATCTGAATATAGTCATGAAACAAAAGGAAAATATATTGTCTTATTAAGAAATAGAGCATTAGTCATTGGTTCTACTCAAATATGAGATTATTTATACGCATTAATTTTTAATTATTTTTTTTCTTTCCTCCACCTCACTCCCCCCCCCCCCCCCCCCCCCCCCCCCCCCCCCCCTTCTTATGTAAACACATGTCATTTGTTGAAGAAGATGATGCAACGCACCTTGAAAATATTATTTATTGTTCAATAAATTTGGGAAACTCGATGATTTAATTTAATCGAGGTGCGTAGTGTATTAAAAATATTTATATAGTTTGGTCTGGATGAGTTTTCGGGAATAAAAGCGCCGATAATTGTTATGACTGATAGAGGCCGATAAATTTGCATCGTTCTCCTCATCCTCCCCCCCTCACCCCTGCCATCATCCTCATCCTCCTCCTCCTCCTCCTCTTCTCCTCATGGTACGCCCACTCAATAATATTCGATAATCTATAATATTGTAATTTTGCCCGAAATTTCATATAAAATATAATTTAATTTATAAAAGCTCGTATTCGTTTGATTTAGTATGAAATTTTTGTTGATAGCATTCACGATAAATTCATAAATACGCTTTCCCTCATGCAGAAAGCAATTCATAAATTGAACTTTTTAAAGTAATTCCTTCAACTTACATTATCTTTTTTATTTATATACTACATGTAGACTTCATTTGGAATTCAAGGAGTTGGATGCGGTATATTTTTGTAGTACACAACTCGGAAAGCACGTAGACAAGTATACGTAGGGAAATGTCGTGAGTCAACCTTGAACCAATTGTCGAGTTTTACAACTGACATTTTCCTATCTCAGAATACGATTATAGATAAAAGCAAATAGTATGAACAAAAACAGTTGGGAATCGCTCGACGAGGGAAGTTTGAAATATCCGCTACGGTCCAGCCAGATATTCTCTTATTAATATGCGCTGGAGCTAGGAATTTTTGGAACGCCTCGGTAATAACGAAATACGCGTCTCGGAAGAAATCCACGGACTTTGAGTTATACGGCGTGCGATAATGTCGAGGAAAGGCAAAGTGGCAGGAGTAAAATCGCGCTCGAGTTGACCTTGTTTCATAACAAAAGCTCGTCCCCAAGTTGAGACGCAGCTACGATCGTGGATTCAGAGCGAACAATCGCTCGTCGGTTCGCGTAATGGGAGCCGAAGCGGTACCTCTTTACCATCGGCTTTTCCTTTTTTTTTTTGCAAATAGTAAATTACATTACCGTGAAATTACCGCGATATTACGTGGCGCGTGAAAAGTACGACAGCCAAGTACAACCGTTTTAAATGTAGAAATCTCGCCGGCTGATAAATGGAGAGGCGGACGTACTGAACTTACCGAGTCAAATAGACCCGTGATTTTTTCATCTATGCACTATTAATCTTGGCATCGTTATTTTCAGAATATATTTTCACGATTGCACTTACGATAAATTTAAAGGCAAATCCCCTGATACGCGTGCCTGCTAGTCTGACCGCGCTATAATAGCCTGTCCATGTGTATAGCCGTAGTCTCGAGCTCCAGCTTAACAATTTCCTATTTACCCAATGTCAATGGTAATGATAGAAGATTATAAAACGGGCGATTACAAGGTGCTTCAACGATTCGTGCCCCCGCCTCCTCGATCGAAGAGTCGAAAATTTCAATTCCCGGCCGAATAAAATAATACACGATCGCAGCCTCGAGCCAATCGCCTTAAAAGCGACTAAGGCCACAATAGCACAAAGTAAAAATTCCGCGGCCAAGAGCATTCGTGAGAAATAGCACGTCAAACGGAACGAGCCGAACGTCCGAAAATCTGTCGGACGAGGTGCCGTATATCTAAAGTACACCGCACATAAACTATCGGCCGGTAAGCTCGTTTCCTCGTCGCTTGCCGAGTTAAAGAAGAAGAGAAAAAAAAATGAAAGAAAAAAGGGAGAGCAGCAGTCCCGAAGAGGAAAGAAGAAGCCCCCGCTCATGGGGTCGTAAACACTTAGCCCATTATCAATTCAAATTAGCGAAATAAAGCGAGCGCCAGGGGAGGGTATTTGCATGCACGACAGGAGAAATCGGGGACCGAGCGAGGGCACGAAGGGAGCTCGGGCGGCGATAAAATTAAAAGAAGAGGGCTGCCAGAAATCCCCGTCGCCGTCGCGTAACGAGCGCGGGGCACGGAAAGCGCACGGGAGTGCGCGTCTACGCGACCCCGGCGACGTCGACGAGCGACGCCTCTTATCGATGCCGGGGCCGCGCACCGAATGCTCTTCCTCGAATTCCTTATTGCTAGTGCCTACGGGGGAATCGGGCTAATGCGCCAGCCGAATGACTGTTATGGGGTTGCGTTAGGAGTTCGATGGACGATGTCCCCGATCTGCCGCGACGGCCTTCCGTTATAATTACGCGTCTCCTTGTGGTGGCGAACGGCTGGTGCTTGGACTTTTCTTCAAAATTCCAAGTGCGCTTGGCCACCTTAGTGGGAGTAACCACGAGTACGGACTTTTGTCGTGGCTCCGCACGCTTTGCACGGAGATACCAAGTACTGTCCCTGATTTATGTGGAATCCAAATTCGCTTGTCCCTTGTAGCGAACTCCGACAATCGTCGAAAGTTTTAAGCGAATTTTTCAATGGCATCATTTAAAGTCGCTTGAAGAAATTTACGGAAAATTTCATTACTTTCTTCCAATTACTTTTAAAGGCTCCATGGAAATATTCACTTAAAACTTCCTGCAATATCAACTTAATTTATTATAAAGAGTAAATGAATTTGAACTTTACATAAATTTCGGTGTTTCATAATTACAACGGCTCAGCGGTTATTAAACTAAACCATTTAACGCGGATCGAGGTTACGCTGAAATTTTTTATCCGCTCGATATCAACGAAGCGTTGTAGCTCGTCAAGTCACTACAGCTACTCCCCTATCGCCCCATCCAACTATTACATCAATGACAGGAATGTCAGTGTGCGTGCGTGCGTGCGTGCGTGCGTGCGTGCGTGCCTGCGTGTGCATGTATATGTGTATGTGTAGTTTTAAGGAGGATATTGGGGATAGTATTTAATTATAATAAGTAAATAGCTATTTTTTAATAATTCTCGGCTGTATTAAACATTACGACAAATAATATTTATAAATAATATTAATCTTGATGGATTATAAAAGTACATTTTATCATTATAAGGGGTGATATTATCATCGAATTTACTTATGCTCAACTTTAAATTACGAGGCGAAACGCAATTGCGATGTGAATGGTTTTTAAAAATATACAAAATAATGCATCGTTCATTTTAATGCGAATTCCGGTAGAACAAAACCTATACAACATGAATTCATTTAAAGATAAATAACCAACTTAAAATCAATGATTAAATTTCTATATTCTCGATTTCAAATGTGCCATGACTGGACCTACATTGCTTCCTCCTCCTCCTCCTCCTCATCCTCTTATTAATATTTAATGCTAAATACTACTCACATTATTCGTGTAAATTAATGTTTTTCTCATATATTTTAATGAACATACAATGTGCCTTAATGTTTCACATTTATTGAAAAAATGCTAAAACGTAATAATAGCCCATAGATTTATGTAAAAAATTGTTACGTTATAAATAAATGAAAATAACATAATCTAAATATTTTCTCCACGTAAACGTAATTTTTTTTATCTCATATGATTTAATGACATACGATATATATAGAATTAAAAATTAATTTGCATTTATATCATAATATTTCAAGAAATACATTATCAAATAACAAATATATAGCAATTTTCGTTAAGTAGAAAATAATCATTATTGTGAAATATTTCACCTGCGGAAATAAATTAAATTATTACCTTATATCTGATCAAATATATCGATAAATATCATTTTCAATAATATATTAACATTTGAAATTTTCCTACTAAAACATACAAGAAACAAATTAATAGCGACTATCTTCTCAATTATAGAAATAACGTGGTGAATAGAGTATTATTATATTATACTTTTATTATTTTGCATTTAATTTGCATTTATCTTATAAATTGAATTATAACGCAAATAATATAGGGACTATTTACATACAGTATTTTTACTTAAAGTTTTATAGCTAATATAATGGGACATTTTCCCATATATTATTAATGTTTATTCTAAAAAATTTCCGTATTTATTATAAATTGTATGGACAATTGAACAAATGTATACATAAGTTTAATGTATATTTATAATGGAGAAAAAGCTGCTTAAATCCAATATCTATACAGAATAATATTTCAAACTACAAAATTATAAAAGCAAAGAACATCTAGATTGAATTGTACTATCCGATTAAGCTGCATCTGACTATATCGCTACATCCAAGTGGAATATCACTAGAAACATCAACAGTTTAACCAAAAGTCCCATAACATCATTCCACATACATACAACCACTTAGCGAACTCGAGCGCAACTGATAAAATCACCGAGCATAAATAAAGCCCAAGAATAATTCAATAGTAATGAAAGGCAGTTGGAAAAGCAAAGCAATGACTAATAAATACAAGTGCTCGACAAGCCCCACGCGAGAATCCATTAAAGTCATCCTGGCATTACTGACACACATCCAACCCTACGCGCCACTATCCCCATCGCCCCGTTCCGCCAACCAGCTCACTCCCCATACCATCCCTTTGAAAACACGTGGGATAAAAAATGCACGGCAAGCTTCGCCCCTCCGCTCTCCAATCCTCACCCATAATGGGAATGACTCACTTGGTGCGAGTGGCGTCGGGTAGGTCGCGTGGTACACGACCCGCTGAGGATGATGGCTGCCCGCATTGTACCCAGCCATCATGTCCGTACAGCCTCCACCGCCTCTACCACCTCCGCCGCCTCGGCCTCCACCGCCTCCTCCTCCTCCTCCTCCTCCTCCTCCTCCGCCGCCGCCGCCGCCACCGATAACGACGAGCTTATTGCAATTGCGGCCGCGCATCAAAACGAC